TGTCAAAATTTGTTAGGCACAGGAAAAGGATTATAGCTGGGCTTGAACAAGCACCTAGCTATCTGAAAGAAGTCTGACTGTTCAAGCAGAAATGTTGAGTCCAGGGCCACTTCCCTCTATAACTGCTACAGCAAAAATGTAGTCTTATTCTGATTCACAGGCAGCAGGGGAGTGGCGGGGAGTGTGTAGGAGAGCAGAACATAATAGTGGGAGGCCGTTCCTTCCCAATCCTGCTGTATTCTATTCATTCCCTCCCTGAACTGAGTTGCTATAGCTAACACTTTCAAAAGGGGGAAAACAGAACCCAGCAGAACCCCTAGGAAGAAACAAGTACTTGTGAACATATCTTTTTCCAGGTCTAACTTTATCAAATAAAAAAATATGTTAAAGCCATCTAGTAAGAGAGGGAGGAGGAAAGGGAGTGACTGATGTTAGGACTGTGGCTACCAAGATAGAAGTGAGCTGTTTGGAAATTTTGGATGCATTAATTCCAAACCACACAGCTCAATGCCAGAAATGAAATTGTGGCTACAATTATTATTTCTGAAGCTTCTTGTACAACCAGTTTCACAACATCTGAAACAGAATGCCCCAAGCCTCACAGGTATTCAGCCTGCTATGAAGAACACAGCTTCCAGAATAGTTCCTTACAGCCATGCATTCAGAAAATCAAGGATGCAGATCTTTCATGGCTGCCCCACTATCCTATTTCACTGGGTTCTCTCTCAGCCCAGTTTTCTTTACATAAGAACACTGACGAAAAGTATACAAAAGTCTCAATGCCCATTGTAATTTTTCCAAAGTTACCTAGATATATCTATATGTTTCATAGTTATAATAAAGGGCAGGAAGTCCCAAGCAGTCAGTGAACCCAATAAGTTCACAGCAGACTACCTAAAGTACTTTTTGAATGACAAGAATGTCAAGTGATAAATCTTTGTGTTTAAATTGTTTTCACCTCAAGTGAGCAGGTCTTTGGCCCATGTGAAATTAATATCCAAGTACCCCAAAAGCATGTGAAGTCTTTATGGCTCATGAACTCTAGCAACTCTTCATGTAAGCATCACAAGTACTTCTGAACATGGCAGTTGTTATTGAAACTAATCACATGACAGACAGGGTAAAAAGGAGGGCAGGGAGAAAACTAGGAAAGGAGAAGAGTCTCAGGAGTCCAGTCTAATACATTCAAAGGAAAAGCTCAGAGTGGTTTGTATTCTAATTCACTGTGCTTTCTTGGACTAATTTAAATGTTGCAGCTTGCCTTTGAAGATACAACCCTTGCTCTATTCAGGGCACTTATGATGACTTGGGGATTTTAGCACTGGAGTATATTTATAGCACCCCTAGCCAGGGTACTGAATTCATCTGCCCTCCAGCCAGTAACTTATTTTTCGAAGGAGAAGCTGAGCCACAACTAAAAATAACCAAGCGTTATACATTATTGGTCAGATGGTATACCAGCATTGTCAAAACACCCTTAATTTAAAAAATCCATTGTCGCCTGAAGTAAATGTATCTGATCCTTGTACCAGATCAGTGTCAAAGACTGCTGCAGCTTTGTTAAATGAGGCAAGCACTTGTGAAATTTTGCTCCACTTGGAAATCAGCAGATCTGTCAGGACTTGTTTAAGGGCTGCAAAAGAAAGCTTGAAGGCTGCGGTACAAGGGAAAAAAGATCCCCTGCACTCACCCACCAATACTCGAAGAATATCAAACCACACTAGAATTTTTAATGATTAATATTTGATGTTCCAGCTGCCTATCTTTCGGGGAAGTTATTCTACAGTAGTTACAGAAACAGTGTGGTTTGCAGGTGCCTGCAATAGTAGCCACACCAGAGGCTTCCAGTATTTAAATAACATGCCTCAGAGGTTTGCTGAAGACTGGCGGTCTATAAATAGCCACTCCCAACTTTGCAAATAAGTCTGAAGATACTAGCTTGCATGCCCACACATACTTACACACTTGAACAAGGCTTCTCCACCTTAAAGTGCAAAGAGAATTCTTCTTCACTACAGGTGACCAGGCAAGTGGCTATTATAAGTCTGAGCACCCTCTAAGCAAAAATAGATTACAAGTAGGAAGGCTGTGAAAGCTAGACATCAGTTCAATTCAGGAAAACCAGTTGTCTGTAAAGCAACTGTAACACTAAATTCCACAGCACAGGAAAATATGACAACTTTTGTGCATCTCACAAAAAGGGCTTCAGTTAATTAAATGTTGTGCTATGATAAGCTTGCTGGCATAAGGTGCCAGAAAACTTCTTTCTCAATACAGCAGATTAATTAACCTAACCCATTACATTTTCTAGGTGTGAATACTACATATATATGAATACATTTGAGAGATGCTACTGGCTGTTCCTTCTCAGCGAGTGTACAGTCATTAGAAAATGTAAGTTTACCTCTGCATTGTATGCAAAATGGCTTTAAAGTAAGCTACTCCACAGAATCTTAACAAAACATCCTACCACCATAGAAAGTTGTTTACGGCAAATTCAAACAACAAACAAACAAATGAACATTAGCTATCATAACCTGAAACAAATTAAGCATAACCCTGAGATATTAGAACTATGGTAAACTGGATTTCAATTAAACTCTACAGAGAAAAACTTCCAGATCAAAAAGTGAATTCCCTGGGGTTCATTAAGACTTTGTGCTTTCCGATGTGCTGCCTCCTTTGGGCCTTACATTTAGAATGACCTGGGCAAGGTCATAGGGAATAACAACACTCATCCCTTCCCCTAGCAATATAGCGCAGAACATTTAAAAAGTGTTTAGCCGCACTATTCAGCAAGTACTGGTAGTACACGGCACTACAGATCAGAGCTTAATCTAATACAAATGGCAGGGTACTATAATATGTGGACTGAAGTACATCAGTAACTATCATGTAACAGTGCAACTAGCTGATACAGCTGAGAGGTCCCAGCACATTAGTAACACTGACTAAGAGGAATGGCTGCATTGGCCAGGAAATAATAAAACAAAGCCTCCGCTTGTAACCTGAGATCTCCAGGGGAATTTTTTTGTATAAAGGACAGAGTATGAGAAGCATCTTATTTAACGGCTCCTGATTTAACAGATATGGCTTATCTGGTAGAAAGGCTTACAAATAAAAAAATATACCAAATTTCCACCATTAATTCCTTTGCTGCCACCTTCTCCCTACAGGTTAGGAGAGAGATATTACACTCCTACTGTTTAATTACTAGAAAAAAATATCCTGCCCATAGGAGAGAAATACTTATAGGTGTCTATGTCAGAGACAAGGCAAAGAAAATGACTAGAAATGCTTTAAGGAAACACACTTGTCACTTGGTGCTCAAAGCCAGAGATGCCTGAACAACAACATTCTAGTGCAAAAACTGTGCTACTCATTGCTGTCAACATACTGATGCCCTCAGTCTTCATTCAAAAGATAAGGTTTGGCTCTTAAGTTTTTCTTCAGGTATTTTCAAAACCGATCAACCTAGGAATTTTCATAACCTAGGCAAGTCAGAACTCATCTTTCCTTCTGAGAGACAGAGAGAGAGAGAACAAATTTGTAGAGGATACATAGCCCCAGAAATAACTCAGATGACATGAAAATACCTAAAATTACAGTTGCCTAATGTCAAATGTGGTAGACAACAAAGCACAATCCAGACACCAGTTTTCTCCAAGGTAATATTTTCTCCGTTTCTGATAAGTCCACCATGCTCCCTATTTCCAGTCAGGTCAATGTGCAAAACCTAAAAGAAAAGCAAAACTCCTCCTAAACCTGATATTTCCTAGCAGAAATCATGCAATAAACCCTACATTTTTCATATTTTTCAAACCTGTTTTGTGGCCTACAAAGGTCTTGTTGAAGACAGTTCTCAAGAACAAAAATAATCAATGTATTAAGTGTTGTCCTTGTGGTCAGCTAGTCTTCTGTTTTTGCATAGACACATGCCCCCCCACATGAACACACCAAACATGCACACATGATAACATGATAGGGTGTGACATGCTGGGAAAAGATATTAAGAAGAGTGACATTCACAACAGACTAAAGATTTGGGAAGCCTGGTAAGAATAAGAAGCCCTGAACAACAGTGATGTCACTCCAAGGAGTAACTGAGATATTGGTGGTAGAAAGTGCCATCAAGTCATATCTGGCTTATACTTGGAGGCCATAATGGTACTTACTCTCCAAGTTATAGTGTGAAGAGATAGAACAGTGTGGTGCTGTTAATCAACAGAATAACTGATAGGTATAAGAAGACACTAGTCAAGTGAAGAGGAGCAACAGCAAGCAAGTACAACAGAGCCACAACTATGTCTTGTATTAACATCACAAAGTAGGCCAACAGCAGGGGTTTGGCAGAGGTCCCTACTGTGGAGCAGGAACAACAGATGCGGCTATTCTCAACAAAGAAGGAGAACTATTCCAATGCATCCATAGATTATAAAAACAAGCTTAAGAATTTTACAATAGTTAAGTTTCTTCATCAAGAAAGGGGGGGGGAGATATTATGGGAAAGAAGAATGGAGTTAAGGAGAGAAATGAACATCAGCCCACAGAATAAAGTCTACCCTTGGGAGGAGAGGAGAGGGAACATTGCACAGCATCCCAAAGTAGTGATTGGCCATTACCAACTAAAATAAATATTACTGTAATGAGACGGTGCCTTAGGAGCATAAAAGTGACCCTTCTCCCACGTTCTGCCTCATAGTGCACTAAGCTGGGCATGTCCGTGCTGGGAGAGGAAAGCATCCGCCATGAGGAACGCTCAGAGGAGGGGGAGGATCCTAAGGGCAAGAGCAAGGAATAAGAAACTGACTGGAAAAGAGGGCAACTGATAGGTATAAGAAGACACTTGTCAAGTCAAGTGAAGAGGAGCAACAGCAAGCAAGTACAACAGAGCCACAATACGGCGAGAAAGCCGTATTAGAATCCAAGGGGTTAACTCCCACTGCCTTGTCAATGGCCGCTTAGTGGGTGGGGTAGTAAAGTCTTGGGCGCTTCCTTACCGATGGTGGAGATGAAGGTGGTGTTGAAGGCATCGTCGGAGAAACGGAAGAGCACGCAGGTCTTGCCGACGCCCGAGTCGCCGATCAATAGCAGCTTGAAGAGCAGGTCGTAGGTTTTCTTCGCCATGGGGGCCCCCCCGCGCCGTGCGCCCCTCCCTCGCCAGGCTCCGCCTCAAAAGGCCTCCCCGCCGCTGCTGCTCCCGCCGCCGCCGCCGCCTCCCGTTTCTCCGAGCCCCCTCCTCCGTCAACACGAGACACTCCACACGGGCCGGGCCGGCAAAGGGAGGGGGGACGGGAGGTACAAAATGGCGGCCCAGGCGGCGGCCGAGTTGGGCGGTGGGTGGGTGGCAGAGGAGAGAGAGGAGGAGGAGGGCGGCTGATAGAAGCAGCAGCGGCGCCGCTCTCGGGCGGGCCTCCTCACGGGTCGAGGTAGGCGTCAGTGGTTAAACCCGGCTTCATGCCCTTCCTCAGCTTCGCCCCTCAGGCAACGCGCCCGGTTCTCCTCCCTCTCACACAGGCAGGCCGCGCCACCAGGCCTGACTGACTGACTGAACAGCGGAGCGGAGGGCGGGGCTTACGTACGCCCAAGGCCGGGCGAGCAAGAGGGAGGGAGCGCGCACGCCGGCCGGCCGCTCCCTTTCTTTTCCCACTCGCAAGAGGAAGCAGGCGCAGGATTCTGTACCACGTGATCGACCGGGAGGCGCGCACGTAGCGACGTCGCCCACTGTCAAAGTTGCGGCGCTCGCGCGGTGTAGCGGTGAGGAGGGACAGCTTGTAGTTACATGTACGTACGAAATAGCCGCGCGACGTGCCCAATCACAGACTGGTGCCCGGTCTTGCCCCTCCCTCTCTCTCCTCCCCCCTCCCGTCTGGCCGCACACGCACGCGCCCTGAATGAGGCCTGTTGTGGGGAAGGCAGAGATGATGTCATGAACTCCTGCCCTTGCGCATCACGGATTGGGTGACTGGCCTTGACGGTGAGTGGCTCTATGCGAAGGGGCGATGAAGTTCCTAGACGAAAAGAGGCATTGGAGTAGGCATGCGCAGATGGACTCGAACCAGCGTGTGCTCGAACTGATCCCCCCTTCCCGGCGTGTAGTTAGCTTGCTTATGTTAACTACGTGATATACTAAGGATGGGGTTTTCACTCGCTTAAAACTGGCTGCTCGGAGAAGGCTCGGTTTTCCTGAACGACTCAATCCGAATTAAAGGCCTATGCATCGTGAAAACGAGGCATGCTTCCTCTGGATTTTGTACAGATCTATTCAGCTCACTGGTCAATGCCGTCTGCAGACTTTGGTCTAAGATTAACCACTCCACAGCATTGTCACAAGTTGTGGTAGGTCTTCATGCCTTACAGCAAGCACGTTCAAGCTCACATAATATCATGTAATAAAATAGTCCTATATAGTCCCCCCCGTGCCCCCTACCAACCCTCGCCCCCTGGCCACTGGTGGCAGATGGGGGGGGGGGGGGAAGGTTGCCAGATCTAAGTTGGGACTGGGAAACTCTTGCAGATTTGTGGATGGCGCCTGGGGAAGACAAGGACTCAGTGGGGTACAATGCCATAGAGTTCACCCTCCAAAGCATCCCTTTTTTCCAGAGGAACTGATCTCTGTGGTCTGGAGATGAGCTGTAATTCCAGGGGATCCCCTGCTCCCACCTGGAGGGTGGCATCTAGCAAAAGGCTACATTAATTAAGGAAGGTTTCTGGCCAGTAACTCTGCTGTGATTAGATTCTGGCTGTTTTCCGACACCCTCGAACAGAAAACTGCCAAGCACAGTATTGCTGCAAGAGAATTTCTGGGCGCTTGGACACTTGACAGCGAGAAATGTGCTGTCATCCAGGAAGCAACAGTATTTTTTCCAGCTTTGTGTCATCAGGCTGGTCCTTTTTTGACACAAAACTGGTGAGAGTACATCAGCACTCCTGTTCATGGGGACTGAAAGGGCAAAACAATTTTCTTTCAATAGACCACTATTCAAAAAGGGAGTACCTGTCTTCTAAAAAACATGACATTAAGTTGAATATTCATGGGCCTCAGACTCATCTTCATAGTATGCAAACTCATATTCTTAGGAATGCGTTCTCAGAACATAAGTAAGGAAAGGTGGCATCAGAAAGGGAGGTGTGGGTTATGGTGGCAAGAAGAGGAGCTGCGGCAGAGGATGTGTTTTGCATGCAGCAGGTCTCTGTTTCAATCCCTGACCACTTAAAAAGATCTCAGGAAGCAGCTGTTGGAAGAAGCTCTTTCTTGGACTGAGACCTGAGGTGCCTACTGCTAGTCAGAGAATACTAGACTAGAGAGACAAGTAGTTTGACTCTGCAAAAGATTACTTCCTGTGGAGACAAGGCAGAGTGGCTAGAGTGTCAGACTAGGATCTCGGAGATCCAGTCTGGAACCCCCATTGTGCCATGGAGGCTTACTGGGTGACTTTGGGGCAGTCGCACATATTCAGCCTAGCCTGCCTCACAGGGTTGTTGTGAACAGGGGTATTTTTGTAGAAAAAGAGCAAGAGAAGAGAGAAGGGGTTTAAAGTTTAAACCCATTAGAGTTGGGCCACAGAAGGAGGAAGGAAGGAAAGAGAGGAAGGAACGAGGGGAAGA